AAGCACAGGTCACACGCACAGGCCCCAGTGCCACGTAAGGTCCTGCAAACCAACAACATCCCCAAAATGACTGCACCGCAGGCAAACCGATCAAACACAGCACCAACGTGTGATGAGGCTCCAAAGCACATTGAAAGAAACAGAAACGTTATCTGTGGCTTTCAACCATTATCCTTCCTCAGCACAAAGAGTTTCCTGTTGAAGCCCGGAGAACACTGCCCAACTTTACAAAGGCAAAATAAAGCAAACCTCAACAAAAGACAACCCACCACAAGAGCAGGACAACACAAACCCACGGCAGAACCACCAGCTCCGCGTTCAGACCTGCCACTCGCCGCCGCGAGGTACGGACTCTGCCACAGCGGAGGTTGAGCTGGCCTGCCGAGGCTGGGCTCCCGGAGACACACCACTCCCTTGCCCCGGCTCAATCCAAGAAACAGCTATAAAGTCACAGCAAAACAAAGTGGACTAATAAAATTCGTTCCCTATAGCGAAGGTAGCAAATCTAGCATGATGTTACCCAAGGCTGTCCAAAGCTCACAGCTGAAAGCTCCGAAAAACGCTGGTACAGTAAGCAGTACAGCTGAGTTTCATACAATCACTTTCCAACTGCATTAAGATGGTCATTGCCAATTAAACTAGCTGTCCTTGCTTTATTTCGTTCTTGACCTATTTGCTACGAATAAACAGACTGGTAAACATCACATCTGCAGAGGAGCTGCATAGGAAGACGCTAGGGAAGGTAAATCAGAAACACCTCCCTCGTCGCAGGAGGAGCCACGTCGAAGCTGGCAGAACCACCAGCAGTATCAGGACTCTGCGAACAGCAGTGCGCAGGACCACAGTCTCTGACTTCATCTCCTACCAGCACCCTGTGCACAGAGCCGAGACCAGGCTGAAGTCTGGCTGACTCCTAACCCTGCGGGCGGGAGCAGGCTGTTCTCTGCAGATGGCCCGCGAATACTCTTACTTCCTCGGGAGAGCTTTGATCAAAAGCAGACAGCAGCAAGAACTGCTACCAGCCGGACCGCTCGCTCTGCCTGACAGCGTCACCGTTAGCACCATCCCCGTTCCAGTCTCCCTGTCTGCCTGAATCCAGTTACACAACGGGGAAAAAAAAGAGAGAGATGTTAAAACCTTGAACATTTCTTGGGAGGGGAGAAAATGTATATGTGCAGTATGAGACGAGTTGTCCTAAATGTTTTCCTGCTTTAAGCGGCTGAATTTTAGAAACTCAGAGCAGAAGCGCACTGTTGTCACCTGGCAAGCTCCTCTCCTTCCTTCCCCTTACTCTAATTTCCCATACTGGCACTGGTGAGAAGTGTCAGCGTGCGCCCTGGAAGCCACGGTGCAGGATTTAACCTATGGGCAGTTCACCCCACGGACACTGACAGGCCCCTCTGTGGGTCTCCAATCCTGCACCCACATCAACAAGAAAGCAGGTGGGTTTTCACCCTGTTACACAGAGGTGTGATACTGTGCAGGCACAGCTGAGGGTGCTGACTGCTAAAAAGAAATGGGGTTAAAATGGGGCCGTGCATTAATCGCTTCCAGAAAAGACAAGACTCCAACAAAATTCCAACAATCAAATACCTCATGTATGCAATGTATCCAAAAAGAGTGATTGCTTGGAAGCAGAAATAGAAATCTTTCATGCCCACATCCCTGGTCCTGACCCACACCAGCCTGGCTGCCCAGCAAGCTGGCTCAGTGATTTCCTTTTTATTTCCAGCTCTGGTGGTGTGGGGACCACCACAGATCGTTACAACTATTCACCTCTTTCTCACAGAAGAGAGGCCCACGGGAGCTCAGTGGACAGCTCGGGGCAGGTGGCCCAAACACAGGCTGCGACCTCTAGCAGAGACAAGCTTTTTTGTGTTTATAAGGAAATTCATGCCTCAGGGCCCGACTGCAGGCTAGCAAGAGGAATGTCCGCTCCTCCCCATAAAGCCCCCGTAAAGCTGCCCCTCACCTTGAGGAGGACGAAGAACTCGAAGACGCGGCGGAAGGAGGGTGGGAAGAGGCGAGCGTAGGTCACTGCCATCTTGAAGAAGAGCGCGTGGAAGAGGCGATCGCGCACATTGATCAAGGGGTTCTGGTTGAGGTTGGGATTGCGGACACCCCGGTTGTTCCCCCCGGCAGCCCCGCCTCCCCCGTTGTTGTTGGCCGGGTGGTGGTTGTTGGCGTTCGGCTGGTTCTCGGACATCCTGACGCCTGCGGCCGGGCGCCGAAGGGCGCTGGGGGGCCCGACC